ATTGTCAGTGTTTGTCACGCTATTTCTTTTTCAACTGTTTCGTTGTAATTGTGAACTGAGAAAGTTAAGTAAACCGAAACTAGTTTTTACAATAAGTTCGTTTTGTAGTGCGATTACAAACCATAGGAATTTAGCCCACAGACATACAATAACCATGGTTTTTATACTTGGATAATTTTACCCGCTTCAAGCTGTGCCAAGTTACCAAGCGGTCGAGTGAATGACGGTCGAGTGAATGACGGTCGAATGACCAGTCCCCCCGGTTCCGCCGCCCCTGTTCACCTCAATAACACCACGAAGATCGCATATGGAAGTGTCAAAGTTAGAAATATGTATTGGTATGTTATTATAAAACACACTTGCAAAACACCATCATGGAAGTTTACTATACGGAATCTTTCCTCTGAGGTCTTGCTTAAGTACTTCATCCCCTGCAGTGCTCTGGTCGGCGACCGTGTCATTGTCATATCGCGCCATTCTGTGTTTTTGAAAGTCTTGAATGTCCAACACAACGTTATGCGCGTGTGAAAATGTCAATTTAGTGGACATTTCAACTTAGCAAATAGCCTGTCTAGCAATAAAACATTATACATGACATTTACTTTTCCTCGGTGCAATTACATGTAATGTCATAAAATTCTTAGTATATATTGCTAGATACCCTTTTGTGATCGATCGAGCTCCACGGCAATTAGTCATTCTAGTATTGATCAAATGAATCCGATTTATGTTTTCAGTTCCRATCCCATCGTGTAAAGACGTTCTTAGCATTACAAGGTATAATTTAATTTTCTAGAAAGGACTAAGGTTTAAATTTTGAGAGACCCGGATGATTGGGKAGACCSAGCGCGCGATGACGTTATGCCTAAATGTATTCCATTTCTTTTAAAGATTTCGAGAAAATAAGGCCTACACACTCTTCCTCGAYAACAAAACAGTTAAAATTTACTGTCATTTAACTGATGAAWTGTGTTTTGGTGGTGGATGGACCCTGGCCATGAAGATCGACGGCTCAAAAGTAAGTAGATTGTAGGTTGGGATACCTGTGGTAAAATCGATGTAGATGCAGACTGCCGACTTCCACTTCTCTAAAAGGCTTGTAATAAGACTGTACATGTAATACAGTCGGTGCGTTCTGCTTTCTGAAGGATCTTTCGTGTATGCGCGATAGACATCTGTCACCACTGAAGGATGTATGCAGTTTCTTCATCTACCTAGTTTTCTATAATATAATTATCTATTACTTTTGTTGCTATAGAGTGAGTTTATCTATGAATCTGATCTGTGGTCAAACAAGACACACTACAATTTGACAGCCGGCCAGACAGCTTTTGACAACTACCAAACTAAATTGCCTAGTTATTGGGCGGTACCTTTCAACAAGATTTGCATTGCCTTCAAGGTTAAAAATAACCTTAAATGGGTTGTGATACCATATAAGGGTTTATCACTTTATGATGTCATCGCTGATAGAAAATACCATTCTACAAACATCAGCAAATCGCAGTGGATGTCTCTGGTTG